AAGTTACGTACTATTTTTTTAAAATCATTGCTCCTGAGTGCTTCATAGCATTCCATTGTGTGAATGTACAACAATGTCTCAATCCATTCAGTTGTGATTGGACATTTAGGCTGTTTCCATGATCTTGCAATGGTGACTAATGCTGCTATGAACATTGGTGTGCAAATCTCCCTGGTGTTTCAGTGCTAAATTCCTTGGGCTATATTCCTATTAGTGAAATAGCTGGGTCACACAGAGTTCTATGTTCGGCTTTTTGAGGAAACATCAAACTGCCTTCCAGAACCTTTGTATCATTTTACTATCCCACTGACAGTTTATGAGCGTTCGCACCTCTCCACATCCTCTCCAACATTTATTGCTTGCTGCCCTGCTTAACTTTGCCACTGCTGCTGGGCTGGCACATTATCTTCTTGAATGACTGTTGTTGTTGATTGCCTTCAAGTAGAGCACGACTTATAGCGACCCTATGAACAAAAGCTGCTCTACAACTATCAACATTTACCAAAGTTTATAGTGTTTCCAGAAGCATGTTGTTTAGGAAGTGGATGCCACTCCTGCTTCCAAACCTGTCATAGTATGTTATTGTTATGTGCCATTGAGTTGCTTGCAATGCATAGTGACCCTAGGTACAGCAGCTCTGAACTCTTCCCTCTCCTGAGCCAGTCTCACTAATTTCAACACACCAACCCCCATTACCCTGGTTACTGTATCAATCCATGTCATCCGGGGTCTTCCTCTCTTGTGCTGACCCTCCACCTTTCTGAGCATGATGTCCTCCAAGGACCAGTCTCTCCTGGCCACGTACCCAAATTAAGTGAGATGGAGCTTCAAAATCCCAGCCTACAAGGAGAGACTTGGTTTCACCCTCTCCAAGACAGACCTATTTGTTTTCCTGGCAGTCCATGGTATGTTCAAGACTCTTCTCCAGCACCACAACTTGAAGGCATCAATTCTTCTTCTGTCATCCTTAGTCATAGTCCAATTCTTTGAAGTATAACAAGTAATTGAGAAGACCATC